TTTTTTTTTTTTTTTTTTTTTTTTAGAAAGTTAAAAGAATTTTTTTAATAAATTATAATACAGTTATAATTTATGAAACCATATAAAAAATTCCATTTCAATAATAAATAAATGTTTTTTTTATAATAAAAAAGGAACGGCTCGTCAAAATTTCTAGAGATTCTATTTATTTTTTATAAATTCGTTCGATAATTTTATTACATCGTGCAAAGTCGTGATTCAATTAATTAAAAAATAGTGAAAGTGAACTTTGAGATGATGAATAAAATTGATCGTGATGTTGTTATGTTTTAAAAGGTTTTTAAAAATTTTTACTGAAAGTAGCGCGTAAAAATGTTTCATGATATTGTTATAAAGAGTAAAATAAAAATGTATAGAAGAAAAAACACGGATTATATTCCTTTTTTTTTTCTTTCAACTTGTATCATTTATATTTTTTAACATTTTATTCTACGTAAAAAACTTAAATCGTGTACATTAAACCCGCGCATTTTAAAAAATTTTTTATTACTTAAATCCAAAAAATCATTATCGAAATCATCATTAAAATTTCTAAATTTTGTATATGTATATGAACTCTCCAAATTTTTTGCTTTAGAATTATTAACATATATTATTATAACACATTATTATATATTACCATATATAATTAACATATAATTTACATATTACATTTGTGAAAAAAATTTGATCGCGCTTTTAATGAAAATGAAACAATATAAAAAAAGAAGAGATCAGTAAGCAAACAGGAAGAAAAAACTAAAAAAAAAGTGATAGATAAGTGATAAGAAAAATCGAAACGAATATAAATATTCTTTAGGAAGTTTAAAATAAAGAGATTATAAAAATAACAGTCAAGTATATTTTTAAAAAAAATGTAATGATATGGATGATTTCCTCATTCTCTTTTTTTTCTTTTTACTATTTATCGAATGCAAATTAAATCGAATTAATATCATAATTGCTCCATGCTTATAATCGTAAATCAATTTTTTTTAAAACTTGTAATAAGCGTTTAAATTTAGAAATCATTGCAATATGATAAATTTTTTTTTTTTGTAACTATATGATAATTCGCTAATATATTTAGCGAAATTAAAAGTATTAAATGATTAAAATTAAAATTTAAATGATTATTTTATTCTCAAAAGATATAATGAAAGATATAATGTATTTAATAAAATTTTCTAGTTTAAATTATTACTTTTAATAAAATTAGTCACTAGTTTAAACTTAAGAATTATTTACTACACGTGCAATGTGATGGATTCTTTTCATACAATCATCAACATACGATATTTTGTAATTTTATTATTTCGTAAAATTTTAGATACAATATTTTGTAATTTTATTATTTCGTAAAATTTTAGATATTATTTTATCTTCAAAGAAAAATCAAATTAAATGAAATGAAAGACGTAATTATCATTTTGTTTTTAAAAAAAAAAAATATCACATATTTTTTTTCAGAATCAATATCAACAGTATATATTTTTTTGCAGAATCAATATCAACAACAGTACGCGTTTATATAGACTTTTTTTACTGATTTCACGTTTCCACTTCGCTCCACGGAACACATGGAACACTTTATACATCCACAAACAATGGTCTCTTGTAATAATGGAAAAAAAAGTACACGTCCTGTTTTATATGAAGATTTTTCTATGCATAAAATTGGTTTAATTAAACTTAAAAGATACGAATTTCGGAAAGCGCATTGTTTGATTCGTTTTTAAGAGCGAATATATACGCTGTTATTTAAAAAATTTTCGACCCATATTTGAAGAATAAATGTCGTAATAAAGATATGCGTGATATATGTACAAACTGCTATATACCAAATTGGAAAAACTACTCAAATAATATTTTTTAATGTTTATATATAATTAAAAATAGCTGAAGTTTCGAGGATTGAAAAATTAAAATTCGTTTCTTTTGTAGCTTGTATTATTGTATTTGTTGTTTCTAATATTTTAAAATATCATAGAAATATTTTAAAATTTTATATATATATATATATATATATACATAAAATGTCCAATTATTATTAATAACAATTTTCAAAATCATTTGTTCCATTTTTTTTTAAGAAATATTATTATAATATATACATATATATAAATGTGATAAACAATTATTAATTCAAATTATTCATTTCATTGTTACACGTATTCTTTAAGTAATATTAGAATTAGAATTTGCACAATTTACTACTTTGTCATTGATCCAGAGTTTAATCAAATAATTAATTCGATAATTTTCGAATTAATTATTTGATTAATTGTTATAATTCATTAATTTAAATTATTATTGAAAGTATATCCAATAATAATTCGAATAATATTTCAATAAATCAATATATCAAAGTGAGTGGTTATAAGATACAGATTAGTATGTCAATAAAACGTCAAAATAATATTGAAATTTAATACTCAAAATTCAATACTGTTATTAACTCCATTTTGAAATTAAATCCATCAACTCTGCTACATCTATTTACGGATGATTTCCTATCGTTAATAAATATCTTAATAAGCAAAAAAAAATATTTATTATTATTTAATAACTAAGGTTTAATAACTAAACGATTAAATCGAGTTTAAATAATAATAATAAAAGCAATATAATTATGCAATCGCATAAATTGATTTATGAAAAAAATTATTGAAATATAATTTTATAATTTTCTAATCTGAATGTAATTAAAAAAAAGTTAATGAAATATATAAGAAAAAAGTACATGATAAAAAATGTGCAAATTTGTATCAAGAAGTTGCATAACAAGAAAAACGCCATTGGCTAAACCGATAAACAGCAGAAAGCTTTAGTCATGCTACGTTGGAAAATGTTTTGCTTCCAGGCTTTTCCACTATTCTTGAGTTAGAAATATTCTTTTAAAAGATGATAGTCATCATCATGATATGATTCACGAGCAAAAAAAATTTCTTCATTATCTGG